TGAGTTAGATTGGTATTTATTTACCATATGAAGATCTCTGTATGATTTAGTTGTCAAATGTTCTTGATTAAAATAAGCAAATATACTGTAACTTAAGAGAAGTACACTGGTGGGATTAATTCCAGAGATGTAGATATATTGCTCTGTTACAACCAAACACAAGAGATCACTCATCTTAAAACAGAGGTAGGCAACTTTTCAGTTCTGTGGCCCACATGTGATAGCGAGTTGCAAAATACATATGTACACATAAATATACACTGAAATGCACACTTGTATGTAGATGTGCAGCCCTGCCATTTTAGACAATACATAAAAATCTGTATTTTCTTCTGTATTTTCATAGGATTTGAAACCAGATCCGCAAAAAAAATTTCTTACGTTTTATTAAAACCAAACAGTAGTTAATTTTGGATTTGCACATTTAATTTTGGTCCTGTCTTTACAAGAGTTATTTACAGCTAGATAACCACTTTCCATTTTTTACTGGACAGATAACGCCCAAGGCATATATTTTAAAAAGAATTGTAAAGTAACCTTTCCCCTCTACTATCCCTCTATTATCTCTCTGGCAGTGGTGATTGCTACCAATTCGGTCCAGATCTTGCGAACTGGTAGTAACGGCGGCGGGAGGCTCTGTGCATGCGCAGAAGTGCCATGTGTGCTCCTGATGCGAACCGGTAGCAAAGGTAAGTTGGAACCCACCCCTGCTCTCTAGGTATTTGTGCATTCTAGGATAATGGCTTAACATCTACTGTATGTATATATATCTATTTCATAACATTTTCTACTTAAAGTAACATAAACATATTGGCCAGTATCCTCTCTTTCAGGCTGATACAAGCATTTTCTGTGCCTGGTAAAACGTAGTATGTTGAATCACATTTCCTTGCCTTCAGGTCTTTAGCAACTCTTCTCCTGGTCACCTCAGGAGAAATCAGGTTCTACTCAAACCCATAATCATTCAGCAGTGTAACATAATAAGTCTGCTTCAAGACCATCACCCATGTACTATTCTCAGTATTAATAACTAACAATAATTTTTCAGGATTAAAACCAACAATTCAATTATCATCATGTTAGGTTGCCAGCAATCATACCTTCTTCAAGATTTAAAATTTCTCCTTTCCAACATATTTTTAAAATGCTTTGTCAGTCTATCAACTGTTCTTCCCTTCTATTAATCCCCCCCCCCCAAGCTATCTGTTATGCTCTCAGGTTCTACTAATCAATATCAAAAGAAATAGAATGTTTGGGTACTTGTGAAGATTCATGAGACTCACAGGAAAGCATAGAGTCGTGTAAATTGTGATGAACCCCATACACACATACCTAAATACATAAGAATCTACAGCTGTCTCCTTGTTTCCCAAGCTATCTGGACAGAGCCAAGATTATTGAAGATGGAACATTAAAGCAATTTGCTTCCTCTCCTGACTCATAGGTCCTGCAGGATTTCCTAAAGGACTTTTTAAAAATAAGGCCTAGCAACATCTGTCATTTTGGCACTGACACTATGATCTTGTGGATCAAAGGAAGAAGATTTTCTAATAAAACTGGCAGGAGTTGCCACAGCAATTAATCAGAAACGTAGGAAAGCAAATTAGTAGAATGATAATGGACATCAAGCTTCATGCATCTTTCCAGACTTAGGAATCCTACATGAGATCTGGAAGCTGTTGTTTGAGTAACTCTATCTTCAAAATAAATAGAATCAACCTGTTCCTACTCAAAATTAATTCCTAGTATCTTTAGAGTTTACTAAGTATACCTATTTACTTGGCAGCAAGCTTTCAAGCACTATTAAGCAAATTTTCAAATAGAAGACTCCACTGAAAGCCTATAAATCCTTAAACAAAGGAATTCTATACAATTCAAGAAAACAATTTCTATGAGTATAGTTGTAGACCACATAATTACTAATTTGACAATCTATAAAAGAAACCACACAATTTTATAAAGCTACATATAAACAGTATAAAATAAAAATTTTGTAAAATCAGTTTGAAGACAAAGAAACTAAACCACAATTTAGAAATTCTATAACATGCGTCTGGGTTTCATCCTGCTAAGAATGTGAGTTTTGGCCGCAAATGGATGTACAGAGCTCCCAGCAACCAAGCAACTCTAAGTTGCGAAGAAGAATGCCAACTCAAGCATCGTTTATATGGCAGGTCATATAAAAAGGAATGCAAAATTTCTGACTTTGCAAAACAAGTTATTGAATTATTCTTTTATTTTAAAGAAGGGAGGAAACGGGTTGACTTCTAAAAATAAGTACTCCATTACTATCTTAGAGTATAAAATTACTCTAAGAAATGAAGCAATATTAAACTTTTGACACATTCAACATATATGTCAAAGTTTTTTTTATAGATGACCTTAAAATTCTTTAGGCATCATACATTTTAAAGGAATAATTAAATTATTCTTCTGAAAGCACACAGTAAAAAATACACATTAAATCTATTTAGTCATTTCCCTATTATACCATGTTAAGCTGTCATCTTGATCCAAATGTATCATCAAGCAAAGAACCCTATACTTCTATGGAGTTACCACCTGTGAGAGTCAATAAATATGTGAGATTTAATAAACTATGAATGATGGTCTACCATTAGCTTACCTTGTTTACTTTTCTAAAATAAATCTAAATCCTTTTGCAATGGAATGTGCAATATGTCAGGCAAGGCATAATTTGAACTATAGTTTTTAGAATTCTATTAAAATCAAAGATCAACAAGGCAAAGAAACAAAATTTAAATATTAAAAAAATGTACCCACTTACCATCTTTTATCATTTGTAATAAGAATGAGATGTATTTGTTTGAAAAATACCCCCGCAGCTATTAAAGAAGATTGCTCTATTATGTGGCTTGTGGTTTTTCCCAGTGTTCCTCATTTACTGTTTTGGGGTTTAAGTTCTACTGGTAATTGTAGTTACAAAGTTAAAGTATTTGTTTTTCTTTACTTTTTTGGGATAGATATTGTACATCTGTTCTTTAAAATTTTATATGACACATTATATAAACTGCATTATTCAACTTTACACTAACGAGCCTCACAGCTTCAAGGTTCTTCTATTTTCTTTTTTACTATAAGTATAGCTTGATGTACTCACTGAACCAGTATTTCTCAATCTCAGTAGCTTTAAGACTTCAACTCCCAAAACTCCATCTTAAAGTTCCTGAGATTGAGAAACACTCCACGGTGCATTTAATAGTTATATTGTTTCATTTTGTGCTACTCTCCTTTGAAATTACCTTTAGTGAAAAGCGCTTTAAAATATGAAAATTATGAAATATTCAGCTAACAGAAAACAAAATACAAATCTATAAATGAAAGGAATGACAAAGAGAGGATGTACCGTAGTGATTGTCCTATTCCTATTTCATTTACTAACTACAGATACATAGGCCTTCAGCCTTCAACAAAAAATATTCTCTACTCAGAATGTAACTTGCTATCTCAACTGATGGGAATCTTCCATTATTCAAACCCATTTTGAGATATAATACTTACCACTAATTCCACTAGTTCCGTTTTTGGAAGATGCAAAAATAAATCTAAATATTAACAAACCAATAAGAATCTGCCAGAAAACATTTATTTTTTGATATTTTTTAAATAATTCATATTTTTAAAACTACCAAGACAACATCACAATATACAAACACATTCACACTACAGGAGAGACCATTAGAGTCCATTATTTTATCATCAGCTGTTTTAATTATAGAGAGACTAATGCCCTTTACGTCTCAAGAACTATATTTAGGTTCATTTCAGTTGTATACTTTTCAGGGTAATAGTCTTGGAAAAACTCTTAAGATTTTGTTTTGGTGCATTAAAGTCAAAAACCCTGACTTGAATGTGTTATTTCCTAATAAGGTCCTTGGGTTTTAAAGTAGACCAAAAATATCTGTACTGTGACGGAATCTGTAACTTATCATTTGTTACTTTGAGGGACAGGCATATATGTGCATTAGCTTTGTAGTTTTTATCCTAATTACAACCATCGTGATCCCTGATAATTATTTATTGACCAATGTCAGGCATATTAGCTTCAAATACTCTTACTCATATTTCAACCTGTCAACCTGGATCCCTTTAGTCTACATTTTTCAGTTCATAAATAGCCAGCTGCCTAGTAAGATATCAGATAATGATTAGACAAAAGATATTTTGTCATTTAGAAGGTAAGTCGTTCTTTCTTCCCTTTTGGAACTTTTATTAACTTTTATTATTAATAATTTTAATTATTAACAGTTAATAGAAAAGACTTAAATTCTATGAAAAGGAATTGGAATCAAGTATTCAGATTGTGATATATTTAGATGCAATATATAGGATATATTTCCTATGTATTTCTCTTTAGTCAGGTTCTTCCTACGTAAACCAAGATTTTTATGCAGCCCTAGTTCAGTGAAATCACAATCCACTAGTTTCTAGGCTTTCTTCAGGCAGCCAGCAAGCACCCTTAGTCTTGGGCAGCAGGGTGCCCAAGTTTAAAAGATAGTTAAGCAATTTAGTTTATTGTTAATTGTTAATTGAAATACCTTGTGTTTTGCTCTGGGAAGTGGGGGGGAGGGGGTTGGGTGGAAAAAGAGGTGGGGGAAAACTTGTTTTTGTAAAACTTTTCAATAAAAAAAAAGCCTAGAAACTAGTGGATTGTGATTTCACTGAACTAGGGCTGCATAAAAATCTTGGTTTACGAGATTTCTGGCTAAAGAGAAATACACATAAAGGCCTACGAAAAGAGAAGAAAACAGATATATTTTCTAGTCTATACTGAGTAATGAAATTTAGAAAAATATAAAAGCCTAATAGGATACCTACCTATGTACCTCGGGGAAATAAGTTTCTAAAAAAAGACTTTGGTAAGGCTGATTCAAAATTAAGACTTGACTCCCACGGATCAGGTTTGTATTTTCCGACTATCTCAAGTCGCTACGACTGATACAGGTTTCCACTTGGGGGCTCGCAGACGTCTTTCATTGATACACATCTTCTTTCCGCAACAACCAAAGGCGAAAACGTGAGGGACTCACTTCAAAGGCAAGAAACAGTTTGCAAACGAAGCTCAGCTCCTCACACCACCCACCCCATCTCACTGCAGAAACCCGTCATGAACTTCAGCCACCATTGTCCATAAAAGGGTCTCACCAACCCCTCAGCTGGGACCCTAAAGCTCTGCTGATCTTTTCGGGACCGGGCGTGGGTTCAAGGCGCCTTTCTGGCAGGAACCCCGGCTTTCCCAATAATCCACCCAGGAGCGCTTGGAATCCGGATCTTTTCGAGAGGAGAAAGAGGAGGGGGAACAAGGCGGCGCTCCTGAAATCCCGGTAGGGAAAAGGCCGACAAAAGGAGAGGAGCGAACCGCCGTCCTTTCTGTGCTGCGGACTGGAGGATGAGACGTCCCCCAGCTCAAGGGAAGAGGCGGGGAGGGCAAACAGCGCAAGAGGCGGGACAGCGGCCTCGCGGTGGCTTGTAAACAGATCCGGCGCCTCCACGTGACCGCCTGGCAAGTACCTGTGCGGGAGACTCTGCGGCCGCCAGACTCCTGACAACAAAGCAGAGGCGCGCGGAGGGCGCGCGCGCGCTGCAGCAGCAGCAGCAGCAGCAGGAACAACGGCCGTTGAAGGCACCGGCGGGTCTCTGGCGCCTTTCCACCGCGTCTCTCCGGGTCCTGGCTAGCCTGGCATCTTTCCTGCTTGGGTTTCCGCCCGCTTGGGTTTCCGATGCCGGCCGTTAATATGGCTGAGGCTGGGCGGTGACTAGGTAGCCGGCAATCTTGACCGGAACAGAGACTTCCCCGCTTCGCGACGTCCGTGAGAGAAAAGGGAGGCGGGGGGGGAGGCGTCGCGGTGTCGGTCCACCATGAGCACCTTCGCCTTGGAAGAGACCTTGGAGGCGGACTGGGTGGCCGTGAGGCCTCACGCCTTCCACGAGCGGGAGAAGCAGAAGTTTGTCTTTATCGTGGCCTGGAATGAGATCGAGAGCAAGTTCGCCATCACCTGCCATAACCGGACGGCGCAGAGGCAGCGCAGCGGCTCCCGGGAGTTCCGCCGCACTGGCGCGGTGGGCCCCGGGGCGCCCGAGCAGCTAAGCGCCTCCTGTAAAACGGCCGGCAGCCCCACTATACGAAAACCCCCGGCCCGACGCGCCGCGGAGCCCGTCCAAACCAGGAGCTCGCCGGCATCGCCTGCCCGGGCTGAGTCGCTTCCGCGCAGCCCGGGCAGCCGAGCGGTTGAGGCGTCGCAGAGGAGCCCGGCGAGGACGAAGAGCAGCCTGGCCCGGAGGCCTCAGCCCGCTCCGAAGGCGCCGCTCAGCCCAGCGGCCTGCGCGGCCGAAGATCTGGAGGAGCTGGAGCTGGGCAAGGACGAGCCTTCGGGAGGCGCCGCCGTCGCTGCCGCCTTTCTCCTCTCTTCTCCTCCCGCCGGGCCTCAAGCGACCGAGTCGCCCACCGCGGCCTCCGCCGAGGTGGAAGCGCTATCTGGAGAGGAATGCAGCTGGGCCGGCCTCTTCTCTTTCCAGGATTTGCGGGCCGTCCATCAACAGCTGTGCTCGGTGAACTCCGAGCTGGAGCCCTGTTTGCCCGTCCTTCCCGAGGAACCGTCGGGGATGTGGACGGTGCTCTTCGGGATTCCAGAGCTCTCGGAGGAAGAGATGGATGTGCTCTGCTGTCAGCTGCAGGTATACCTGGGCCACTGCCTCGATACTTGCGGCTGGAAGATCCTCTCTCAGGTACTCTTTACCGAAACCGACGACCCGGAGGAATATTACGAGAGTCTGAGCGAGCTCCGGCAGAAGGGCTACGAGGAGGTTTTGCAAAGGGCCCGTAAGCGCATTCAGGAGGTGAGCGATGCCCCCAGTATAGATAAAGTGGGGGGAGACCCTCATCAAGCTTAATTAATACATTTTGCTTGCACCAGTTATTCGTCAATTTAATCTTAGAATAAATTTCCTAAGGTTTGACTCTCAGTTGTTTTCTTTCTTTTTTCCTCTTAACATACTGTAATTCCAAATAAGTGATAATGTTTAGGAAAAACAAAATACTTAGAAAAATGTAATTAGTTGGTAAATCTGAATGTTTACTGGAGTATTTTTTAGTAAATCCTCCAAGGTGCAAATTCTGGATACAGATATCTGTATACCTAACTATGATGAAACTTTTTAAGGGGGATGTACATGTTTCTGTTTTATTTATTTATTATTAAATTTCTAGGCCTCCAGACTCTGACTCTAGGTGACTCACAAGTAAAAACATTAACCACAACCATAAACATGGTTGATATGTTGGGCTGCACTGGGAAGGCCTCATTTCAAATCCACCCTTAGTGAAGCTTCTGGGGTCTTTATAGGTCACTTATTCACTCAATTTACCTCACAGAATTATTGTTGTAAGGGAAATTAGGATAATGTATATTGATTGGAGGAAACACATACAGAAGAGTTTTTTTAAGAAAGGAAGAAGATGGCAGTATTTTGATACCTGCACAAGAGGGGAGGGACTTCAATCATGTGATCATTTTTATTTATTTACCTGACTTACATGATTTATCATCTTATATACAATAACCCTGTTTGCTCACAGCAAGATCAGTAAAACAAAACAAGATGAAACAATAATACCAACTTCATTATGGCTGCCATATTACTTTTTGGAGTTCCCGGTGAATGGGGAACTATAAATCTAACAAGCAAGTAAATAAATGATATTTATCTTCTGCTAAATTTGGTTTTGAAGTTGGCATATATGTAAGATTAAGAATTTAGCCCAGAAGCAGGAGGTCAGTTGTAATAACAATCAAAGCTGAGATTTCAATAGAAGGGAAATTTAGACCAGTATTCTTTTTTTTTTTTTGGTTGTTGTTCATGGTAAGTATACAAAATAAAAGCTGTGAAGGGCCATAGTAGCAGCAGCAATATGCAAGAAAAAGCTTTATTGCTTTAGCTTTTTCTCAGAGGAGGATAACATTTTACTCTAGAAGGAGAATGGAGAGCCAGTTTGGTGTAATGGTTAAGGTGTGGCATAGAAACCAGGAGACTGTGAGTTCCAGTTCTGCCTTAGGTATGAAAACTGGCTGAGTGACTTAGGGCTGGTCCCTCTGTCTGCCCAACTCACCCCACAGGATGGTGGTGATGAAAATAGGAGGAAGGAGTATTTAGGAATGTTTGTCATGTTGAGTTACTAATAAAGTAATAAAGACTGGATAAAAAACATATAATAATCATTGAATAGTGTGAAATAGGGTGTTTTGGTGCCATAAGTTTTTTAAAAAACGCTTTTTAAGGTTTTATACAAGCTCTTTAGTCTGTATATGATTTTTGTCATACTGTATATAAATATACAGTATGTATATTTATATAGTTACCAACATTTACATATAAATGTTGGTAACTATTCTAATCAGGATATATTTATTTTAAAAAATGAAGTGATTATACATGCAGTATATTTAATTACTTACCAAGTATTTTAAGTATCCTAGAAATGAAAATGTTTCTCATATGAAACTGAGACATAAAATACGTTTTGTTAAACCAGGTTCAGTTTTATATGGATATGATTCTAGAGCTATTGGCTATGCCAGTATTATTATGTTGACTGTCTGGTAACAATCTGTATATATACTGTATATGCTAATTAAACGCATTGTCTAATGTCAGTATATCTGTTAGTACCTTCTATGTAACTGACTCATATTTAATTAAAAGGTGCATATTTAAGAAAGGATAACTTACTTTTTTTCTCTCAGGTTTCCACTATCTACTGTATTACCTGCTTGTCAATTGAAACAAGAACCTCATAGCTCACTTGGTTAAATTATTCCATGATAATGAAGCAACAGATGACAGACATTTAATATTAATGTGTAATCTGAATATAGTAGTTTTCTACACTTCAGATTGGGATTCAATTATCTCCTGAAATATGAGACAACTCAGTTCATGTATTGTATTTCACTCATATTTTCTTTTGCCTTACCTTTGCTTTGAAAGTGACTTTAAGGCAGTTAAGAGTCATTGAGTGAGGATACTGGATTCTTAACAGTTCTTTAATTAAAACCCATACAAAAATGTTTCAGTTTTAAAGAGAATATTAATAACTTGATATTGGTTATAAAATTTCCTAGCATATATTAATATGCCCTTTTATTAAGATTTATCCTGATGGTCAGTTGAATGATTCAATTCTTTGGATGAAATAAGAAAGGCCATATGCACTGATAAATTCCTTTTATTTAGAATTAGCTTGGACAATGTTTTATTTAGTCACACATTCCTGTTGAGCTATGCAACATGTAACTCAAGTTCAGACTTGATTAGAACTTTATATTAAATGTAAAACTTTATATCTTTCTGCAATAATTTTGCAAATATAATGGTTGGAATTGTAAAATTGCTTCTATGCCAAAATTATAGTCTTAATATTTAATATTAATACATAAAATTGAAAGTAGAAGAATATTGGTAGCCTAAATTACTTTAAAAGATAATATAAAAAGTTAGGTGAAGTGGCACATTAAATCTTACCATACAGAATTTATCTCTTTCATATTGGTACATGCTATGGGTAATCCTTCACTTACAACCATTTGTTTAATAACCTTCAAGCTTATGGTACTGAGAAAAGTCATTTATGACCTGTCCTTGCATTTATAACTGTCACAGGGTCCCCACGATCACATGATCAACATTTGGGTTCTTGGCAATTGGCATGTAATTACAACAGTTGCAGTGTCCCAGAGCAGAGTCACATGATCACATCTAGTAACCTTCCCCAGAATTGCCAACAAGTAAAGCAGTTGTTGGTAACCCCAGGGAAGGTTAGTGGTGGTGGGGGAAGCTAAATTCACTTAAGACTGTAGCAAAAAGGTTATAAAAACGGGCATTATTTACTTAACTATATCACGGTGTAGATTCTGCTCCTAATTGTGGGTCATAAATTGAGTACTGTATGTATTATTTGAGTAAATTGAGTACATACCTGTATTATTTTCTAATCTCAAACTCAGCCATGGAAATTCAGTGGCTAATTCTAAGCCAATCACTGTCCCTCAGCGTAGCCTCACTTAAAGGGGTAATTACTGTGGAGTTAAAGTGAAGAAAAATAAGGCTGCCTTGTGCTCCTGGAGAAAAGGTAGGATATAAATCTAATAAACAGTATGAAATTTTTAAAGACAACTTAAAGAAAAGATTAGATTTAATAATTTCTGTATAATGGATCTTTATGTATACTTGCTATGCTAGTCCCTTTCAGGATAAAAAGTTAGATTAAGTGTAGAAAGAGAATAAAAATGGTAAAAGAAACATAGAGGACTAAAACAAGAAATATAACTAAATCTTGTTTTATATAGGTGCCATTCACAATTATTGTCCATACTTTTTCCAACCTTGGAAACTTCCTGGTTCTGTCATCCGTTCATATATTGCATTTAATTTTTCAAACTGTTAAACACACTTTTTTGTAGGTCTCATTAGTATTTTTCCTTCCTGTCAGTTCACCACTCTTCCTTTATATATTTATTTTATGATGCAATCCTCATGCATTCTTTCTATATAACCAAATCACATTAATGTATTACTTTTGTACTGTTCACTCAACTTTTCTATATAGTTCACATTTACTCAGCATACATTTTGTCTTGATCCTATCTCTTCTTGCTTTATTGCCTATACTTCTTAATAACTGATTTTGACTCCATTCAACTTTTACCCTTCAATTCTCATCTGGGAGTTGAAGTCCACAAGTCTTAAAGTTGCCAAGGTTGGAGACCCCTGCCTTGGTGTGTGTGTGCGTATGACCATTTTTTGGTCAAACGCTACCTTGGCCTTTGATACACTAATTTTCACATCATGGTTGTGTCATTATTAATATTTGTTACAAAACATTAAGTTCTTAGCCAGTAACACATAATTTGCATATAAAGTACATCCACATCCATATCCCCATCCAATATAACCTCTGTTAATCACCAAAAGCATTTCTTAACATGTTTGTCAATGCTTGTATTAATCAACATACCACACATCCTTGTCATGCTCCTGGCACAGTTTTGAATCATTCACTAAGCATTCAGTTTATTTGCATTCATGATTTACTTCTACCATTTCCCATTCAGCTATCACCTTTAAATTCCATATTCACATGAACTATTCTGTATTCTAAGTCTATGCTTTCTTTAAGTCAATTTACATTACATCACATCAGTGAGCTACTCACATTAATCAGTGAGCTACTGAAAAGAAAAGATCTGGCCTGCACATACTTCACCTTGCATACAACTGTATTGTACTTCCCAAATTGGGGCTATTGTCCCCTTTCAGAATTTTGTCAAACACCTTTCCAGGCACACTTATGACATTGTTTACTCTTATTATTTACCATTCATTCTTAGTCTCTTGCTAGATGATGGTGTTATTCCAATTTTCAGGCAGGGCTCACACAGACTTGCACAAACATGCCATACATACATTAAACATCCCATAATCATAACATCCATATTTTAACATTTTTGCTGTTATACTAATATACTGGGAACTTTACTATTTTCCAATATTCTCACTGCATTTATGACTTTCATCATTTTAATTGGATACTAGCCATTTCATGCTGAATAAACTAAATTATTAATGTATCTTAAATAGAAAACTATCTTTAAATAGATTTTTACTCCAAAGTAAAAAATAAATAAATAAATTCAATAAAAATTTTAAAAATCCAAATTAAATTTAAATTTAAAAAAAATCATCAATTTTTATCCACCCTTGGTGGAAACCTCTGTACATCATGTGGAGCTTCTAGATCCTCACATCAGCAGCGTCAATATCCTTTTCTGGCCAGCTCACTA